GAATGCCAGAATTGAATATTCTACCATTAGAACCATTAATTATAAAAAATCTGATTATTTTTAACGCTGAAGGTTTGAAGGTTAATATGAGAGATGTAAACATATATAGATTTTGTGATTTTGTCGTAAACTCTCTTTACACGGATCCTGACAAGCACCGTTTCAATCTTAATTCAAATTTCAAGCGTCTTCATTTGAATGGTACAGTTGACTTTGATTTACGAGTACTGATGCAAATTACTCATAAGGGAACGTCTCAAATTATTATAGGTAAGTAAGATAATCAACGTAAATCTTATATAAAAATAAAATGTGAATACTTAATGAAACTTAATTTAAAATAAGAGACTAAAAACTTACATAATTTTTTATTAAATATTAAAATTATCAACTTATTATAGATAATGTAGATATAAAAGTAGAAATTAGACTTGCAAACGATACTAAGAATGGCAAGAAATACATATATGCGTCGAAATTAAGCATGAATATCGACATCAAGGACTTTATTTACAAGATTGATGAGAGAAGAAAGGAATTAGCTGATTTTTATAAAATAGTAAAAGATATCATAAATAATAATAAAGAGGTTATTGTGAAGAAAGTTAAACCATCCATAGAAAAAGAGATCTCCGAAAATGTTATTTCAGTTTTGAACTATGTATTTCGACGTATTAATTATGAAGAGCTATTTCCCGAAAAAACAAGAATCTAGAATTTTATGATTTAATTAGCTTGTTTTTTGCAAGACTCTTGTAATTTTTGCCATAAATTTTGTCATAATATTTTAAAATTTGAGCTGCGAAATAACGAAAGAAAATAATTATTATTGATATTAAGGAACAGTGGATATTAGTATAAATTTTAATAGTTTATATAATCTATAAGAGTATAAGAGAGATCGCAATTATTGGCTCAAATTAGGCGTTCTATTTATGTATTTTTGATGAAAAAATGTAAAAGTTTTCATTGCTTCTGTTGCAAAATATTTCTTTTATAACATGAGTACTTTTCCTCCTGTTCTATTTAAATCAAATAAAAAAAAGAAAATCTAATTCAAGAGAAAGCAAATAAATTTTTAAAATTTCGTATTAATATTCGTTAGTTTGAGAGAGTAAATCTAAGTGACGATTATTAATTAGAAGAAAAGTTTTTACTAGTTACTAAATATGGATATGTTAATTTCAGTAATAATAATAATTTGTTATGATAAACAAAATAATTGAAATCGGACGTATATAGAGATAAAGATACATTGAAATAACTTTAAAAGATATAGAATTTGTATTAAGAAATACATATCTGTGATACAATCAGTTTTTTATTTCTATTACAATTTTACTAGTGTAAAGAGATTATCGTATGTGGGCAACTTACATCGTTTATCTTACTATTAAGATAAACTAGTTACAATATATGTTCGTTTTACTTAATACAAAGAAATTATATAGAATCATTCCTAGCAGAGAATAATAATGCAGAGAAAGATTTTCTTTATCATATTTAGTACAGTTTATTATAATAATTAATTGTTTAAAAAGTCAAATGTAAAAATTGTAAAAATTTGTCAAAAAGGCTCTTTTTTATATTTTTAATATATGTTTAATACATATTTTTTATATAATTTAAAAAATGTCGAAATAAGAATTTTAAATCGAAATATAATAGATAATGATGTAAAATTATTAGAAAATAAATGCTTAAATAAAGATTGCAATATGTATAATAGATATATTTATCTTATTTGTAGTTCTATTTATAACTAATAATAAAATCCCAAAATCTTATTTACAAAAATTAAGTTATCTGTTAAACTTAATGACGTACTTTTTTTGAAAAAATTGAACAGACATATTCTTTAGAAAAAGGCAAAAAAACATTAAAAACAAAATTGAAAACATTTTGTATAAAAAGCATTAAAAAAAATTTTAGAATTAGGAAATAAGCAAGCGTCTCGATATAAATGTGCTACGGATCCACGAAAGTTTGTATAGATAATCGAAAATTTATTTATTTTATGTTACACATCTTGGTCATTATTTTTCTTAAAGGAATTATACTAGGAGAGACTGGAGACAGTTGTAACAGAGATTAGTTGTAACAATGTATATCTTTAAATAATTAGAGATAAGATGATCATATGAAGAACAAAAAGTTAAATATAATATTTTACGATGCTAGTACAGTTCTCGGATTGACTTATGATATCATAAGAGTTTACTTAAGAGAGTGTTAAATGCAAGAATCGACTATGAATGCCAGCCTGCTTTGCGTTGTGAAATTGGGGTATTGAATCTTACTTTCCTAAATTCATTCCTAAATCGTTAAAAGTTGCAAAATCATGCCACATATATCTTCTAACTATACAACATATATCTTCGATTTATGTGCTACTTCCAAATAATTTCGATTTTTGCGGTGCAATCTTTAAGGGATTTCCCTCTTGGAAACAAACAGACCTATACATTCCTGAGTTGTTTAAAATTGCAAAATGACAATATTTAACTATGCAAAATATATTTTCTATTTATGCGCTTCAAAGCAATTTCGATTTTTGCGCAGCAACCCTTATGGTTAGCATGGTGATTATGAATATAAATTCAATATGATAGTAAATGTGATTATGATAGTAAATTCAATATGACAGTTACTACAAATTATTCTAACCAATCAGAGAAATATATCAATCACGTAACACTTTGCAAATCTTTGTTTTACTGGAATCTCTAGATTGTCTACTTGATCTTCATGTTTGACAACGCTTGGCAGCGCCATATTGGTATTCACTCCACTCTCACATGTATACCATAAATTACACAGATAATAACATTAGTATTTTCATATAAATTTATGCGATATTCACAGATAGGACGCCATACATATGCATATGTGAACTGAAATAAGAACAGTTCGGAATCAGGTTTATCTCTTTCTGTCATATTAAATTAGCAGTCTAATTATAAAAGTTTATGGAATGATGCGGTCTTACAAAAAAAAACAATCAAAATCAAATCATCTGTAAATGTAGAAACGTATGCGACAGAGACAAAGTCAAAGATGGCCACTTGTCTGTGGGAAAAGCGGCAAATGCATGTAACATTAATCTTATGACTGTGGCGGCTTAAAATATCACTAATCGAGTCGCCGAGGCGCGCGCGCGATTTGTGTCGCCCCTAAATCGCTTGCCCGGTGCCGCACTTTACGCTGATCGAGCGCCCGCCCGGTGCGAGTTCCGACTGTCGCCGCGAGAGGGCCACGCGGCAGTAAAGAATACGTGCACAAGAATAATTCACCATTCATAGAAGTAGGGCTTTGCGGGAGATCTTCAGCATCTTCTCACTAGAGTTAGAGTAAGCTCGATAAGGATCTCTATTCTAGTATTAGACATATCCTTGCGAAGCGAGCTCATTACCGTGCCTTCGCGAAGCAGAGCGAGTTCCATTCGGGCCTCTACGGTAATTATTTCCTGGCAACGAGAGGCGTACACACGGAAAGCGGAAGCGTTGCCGGGATCCGAGCACGAGCACCTTGTGGCGGCCAGTACCATCGCTACCGCTGCCTAAAGAATTGCGGGAATTGGAAATCGGGCCGCTGATTAGCCTTCTGCCAGTGACGCCCATACAACCGAGGACATCGGGACGAAGGAATAGGAGAATCAACTCGCGGTTGATCACGCCAGCTCTTTGGAACCGACTCTAACTCCGAGGAAAAATAATATACTAGCACACACACAAACGCGCCGAAGGGTACCAAAATAAATAGCAGAAGTACCAAAAGATTCTTTATACATAGTGTATAAAGCTGAATAAAGGGTAATATATTTTTATTTGTGGAACCTTCTTAATTAAGCGACACCCTTTCACAATGACTTTCCAATGACTTTTTAACTTTAATAATTAAAGAAAAAATTTTTGTAATAATATATATATTTTGTTAATTTTATATTGCAAAATAAATATTCCGCATGAAGTATTTCGTGTTTGATTTCTTGAATTTGCTT